GATCCCACTTGCTAATCCAATGTTCACACCCTAACACAGGCAAGAGCCAAATCTATTAATACCTACACCTGAGCTGTAATGTTCATAGTTTCTAAGTGTCACAACTTTGTAAAGTGGGCATTATCACTCCTATATCATATAATGAGACAGAAATTATCTTTTTTATTTTTTTCTGTCTTGACTTTTTTGGTTTTACGAGACAGGGTTTCTCTGTATTGTTTTGGAGGCTGTCGGTCCAGCCCGGCCTCAATTTAGAGAGATCCGCCTGCCTCTGCCTCCCGAGTGCTGGGATTAAAGGAGTGCGCCACCACGCCCGGCTGCTTTGACTTTTGAGACAGGGTCTCACTATGAAGCCCAGTAGCTCAGACTATCTTGAACCCCAGATCCTCCTGCCTCAGCCTTCCAAGCGCTGGGATCACAGCCACAGCACTGCTGACTGTGATACAGATTTCTAGGACAAAATCTGTTTTCAGTAAGTGTTAGTGCCTTGCTTCTAAAATTCTAGCAAACAATCTATACTAAAAGTGACAAAAAGAGGTCAAAGAATGCTGAGAAACACATCTATTAAATGACAAAATGAACAGCTATAAAAGCCTAAGAATTAGACTTCATTTAAAAGGCCTCTAATCTAGCCACTCTACCTTCCTGTTTCCTCTCAGCTTTATGTGTCACATGTATACAAATTCTAGGTAAGATTAGTCCTCTGCAGAGGACCAAGTTCAGGCCTCCAGCTTCTTTTTTCTACTACCCAACATATGCAAATATCATTAGTTTTTCTTAAGAGAAAAGTGTAAGCCAAAGCAGTGCTGCACACCTATAGTCTCTTTGCTCTCAGGTGAGGCAGGGTTACAGGTTTGAGGCCAGCCTGAGCTACACTTTGAGACTCTGTTGAAAGGAGAAAAAGAGGGGGAGAGAGAGGACTGGTATCTGCTCACCCAAGGCAAGGCAAATTTCTTTACTTGCCTCTTTAACCCTGTTGTAGCACACTGACCAGTGCATCCCAGACACTCACCTGTCCACCTAATAATGGCTACCATGGGACTGGGTGTGTACCTGTAATCCTAGCATTTGAGAAGCAGAGGCATCATTTGAACAGAGCCACTTAAGACCAGCCCAGACACACAGTGAGACTGTATCAAGAACAAACGGCAGCTGCTACTTACTAGCACCTTTGCAGGCCAATCTAAACATGCAATATTAACTCCCAACAATCTTAGAGGTAAGGGCATTATAACCCCCACCTCCAGATGAGGAAGCTGTGACACAACACAGTTATGATCAGTTGAGACCAAAGGGAGGCAACACAAATGACAGCGTTCCAACCAGACATACATGAGTCATTCCAACTTCTTAAAATGGAGCGCTTAAGAAAACTGCAATAGCTAGGACCTCTACTGGATCATAAAATAAGACAAATATTTTTCCTTCTTCTATGTTGTAATATTCTACCCTGCTTCACCTAAAAACAGTTCAAAGCCTTTATCTCATTGCTTCTGAATGCTCTAGCAGAGGAGAAGAAAAAACAAATAACAAAAAACTCAACAGATCAAGGGTCTCTCCCCTACAGCTACAGGAGATGACTTGAACAACAAAGTACAGTTTTCTTTGTACAAGCGAAGCTACCTCAACACCACAACATTTCAAGATTTCTATTTAATCTATACCACTGGCATCACCACCACTGCACAGCCCAGGCTGACCGGGAACCCACAATCCTCCCATCTCAGCCCCCAGCACTGGAGTTGCTGGCGTGTGCTGCCATGCCTAATTCCATTTTTTTTTGAGTGGGGAGGAGCCGCGTGAGACAGGGTTTGCTAAGTAAACCTGGCTAGTCAGGAACTCCCTATGAAGCCCAGGCTGGCCCTGAATTTAACAGAGACCCTCCTGACCATGATTCTTCTAATTGCCTCCAGGGCTGGGATTACAGGCACACACACCCTTCCATCCACACTTAACTTGTAAAATGCTGGAGCTATTTTGTGTTCTATATATGGACTTGATCAAATATATACCTATCAAAACTAAGAGAGAAGAGTTATTTTAGAGTTTTTCCCAGTTCACTGTGGCTGAAAGTGAATTTTTTGAAAAATGGTGTCCTATGTTATGACAAATGGTATACAAAGAAATATTAAAAATTGCTTTATTATTGTTGCCATCTTTTTAGTCCAACAACTTCAAAGTATAGTTAGTCCCTGGTCTTCAGTTGCTCAAATACCACACCGCATTAAACTGAGAAGGGCTTGTTAAGAACTGAGTGCCCCTTTCCTCCATGTTCTGACTCCCTATTAATCAGAAACCAACATTCACAAAAGAAAGTTGAGACAGCCTCCCAGTGACTCTGACCTTACCAAAAAGCTCCAACTGGCACAAGGAGCTAATTGTCCTTTATGGAGTACTTCTACTTTCTAACACCTTTTCCAAAATAACAGGGATGACAGCATCCTTCAACTAGACACAGAAAGAGGTACTTAAAATTCTGGTGCAGTTGCACCCCTCAAACAGAAAATCCTCCCGATGACTGGGAAGCATGGTATGGAAAAAAATCAAATTGTTTCCCATCCTGTCAACTGTGTCCTCCTGGAATTTTATTGAGATGGGCACATTCCAAAGGGTAAAAAAAAGTTTAAACATGCAAAAATTAAATCTCGATGCAGTCAACCAGAAAAGCCAATTAAGCAAAAATACAAAGGTGTTTTTTGTATGTCTTACAGTTGCCTTTAAACAAAACAAAAGCCCCAAGCTGGTGGTGGTGCACGCCTTTAATCCCAGCACTTGGGGAGGCAAAGGCAGGCAGATCTCTGTGAACTCCAGGCCAGCCTGATCTACAAAGGTAGTTTCAGGACAGCCAACACTATTACACAGAGAAACCCTGTCTCCAGGAGAGAGAGAGAGAGAGAGAGAGAGAGAGAGAGAGAGAGAGAGAGAGAGAGAGAGAGAGAGAGAGAGAGAGAGAGAGAGAGAGAGAGAGAGAGAAGGACAGACAGACAGAGACAGACAGACAGACAGACAGAGAGACAGAGACAGAGAGAGAGACAGAGACACACAGAGAGAGGGAGAGAGACAGAGACACAGACACAGACAGACAGAGACACAGACAGACACAGACACAGACACAGACAGACACAGACAGAGAGAAGAAAAGAAAGAGAAGAAAAGCCAACCAAGATGCTTGAAAATTTGAAACTCTCCATCTAATTCTGATTTTTTAGAAAAGTAACTCTGAAATAGTCATTTTAAGTAAGAGCAGCAACAAAGGGTTTTTAAAGTAAAACTGTGGGAGGGTCTTCTGATGGTAGAAGTTGCTTCAAAGCACTTGTGTCCTGCAAGTGCTCTTTATCTCCTGGGTAAATAAGAACTTTTGCCTGGCAGTGGTGGTGCACACCTTTAATCCCAGCACTCTGGAGGCAGAGGTAGGCAGATCTCTGTGAGTTCACAGCCAGCTTGGTCTACAGAGCAAGTTCCAGTACAGCCAGAGATATTACACAGAGATAACCTATCTCAAATAACAAACAAACAAACAATCTTTTAAAAATACACATAATCAGCCAGGCGGTGGTGGCGCATACATGCCTTTGATTCCAGAACTTGGGAGGCAGAGGCAGGCAGATCTCTGTGAGTTCAAGGCCAGCCTGGACAGCAGAGCCAGTTCCAGGATAGCCGGGGCTACACAGAGAAACCCTGTTTGAAAAAAAAAAACGACATATATTCATTGTGTGTGCATGTGTTCATGGTGTGGTGACCAAGGCCAACTTCCAAGAGTAGGTTCTCTTCTGAACAACTCAGGGCATCGGGCTTGGCAGCAGGTACAGTAACCGGCTGAGTGATCTGGTTGGCTCAAAACAAGAGCTCTTTAAATTGCTACCCTGGACAATGAAACAGTATCATCGAAGGACCTAGAGGAACCTGCCAGCACATCTTTAAGTCTCCCCTTCTGAAGTCTCAGACAAATTTAAGATGCTAACCACGCACATACTATGAGTGTAAAGTCCAACTCACAAGTTCACCTTCAATCCAAATTTGTCAGCAGTATCTAAAATCATATTTCTGAAAGTGTTACTAAACCACCTGTATCCGATCCCAGCATCTCTGACTGCTAGACTCTTAGGACCCACCTACCAGTTACACAACCAGAATCGGAGAGATGGAGCATGGGACATGGCATTTTTCAATACACTCCTGAGGTTATTTTAATCCACACTGCAGCTTGAGAACCACTAAATAAAAACCAAGGACATATCTGCTGTTATGTTGTCCTCAAACCCTATTCACATGGAATGCCAATGCCTTCTTCCTTCCATCAACTTCCTAAAGAGACAGAGGTTTCCCTCCAGTTCCCCCCACTTGAAGTTTAAAAGTAATCAAGGAGGATCAAAGATCTTTCAGTATTTAAAGTGATTTGGAACCTCTGACACATCCCAGGAAAAAAAAAAATCAACTCAAGAAAGGCAAGTTCTTCAAGGGCTGAGGACCGCCCGGAACAACAACAAGAAGTCTCCCTTACTTAACTCTTTGACCGTAAGCGCAAGTAACATCTCTGGCCAATTAATTGCTGGCACCCATTAGATATCTTTTTCTTTGGCGACTCCAAATCCTATTTACAGGGCATCTTCACAGGGCTGCCTCTTGATTGGATTACAAGCATTTTACACACCCAAAACCCGCGCGCGCACACACAGACATCCCAGTGCAGTCCCAAGGCGTCCGGAGACTCCATGAACACCCAGACTAATGCCTAACTAGAAGAACAAGCCCCCAAACTGCGCACCCCCAACTCAAAGCAACTTTGCCGCTCTCTGCTTTATTCTCGGGTTCTGCTTCCCGGTCCCGAGCCCTCGCCACCTCTCTCCAGGGATGTCCTCCCACCTCATCTCAGATCCCGCGGCCCAGGCCCCGCGCCGCTCCGCGGCCCACTCCCACTGGCCGCCTCCTCCTGGGCTTGTTTTGCTGACAGAGGTGCCACCCTCCAATTTTCCTCTCTCCTTCGGGCCTGTCCTCCTTACCCGCTGGCAGCAGGACTTCGGCGACGTCGCCGGTAGGGCCAAGCTCGGCCGCGCCGCCGCCCGCGGGGGAGGAGGGACAACTGTGACTGTGGGAGCATTTGATGTCGCGGAAGAACTTCTGGGTCTCTCGCAGGTTCTGTCGCAGCCGTCCCAGGTAGCGGCGATAGCGGCCGAAGCCCCGGCACAGCTCGCGGATCATTCCGCCTCCTCCCGGGCCGGGGCCCGACACGGACTCGCCGGCCCACGGCAGCCCGTCGGCCTCCATCGCTCAGCCCGCTGTCTCCGCGGCAAGCTGCGCCGCTGGCCCGGCCCCCTCCTCCCGCCCCCTAGCGCTCAGGGAAGGCGGAATCCGCCTCCCGACGCCCCTGCAGGCACTCCGCCGGTCCTCCAGCCTCCGTCACTGCCGCCGCGGAGCAGCTAGGGCGCCGAGCGCTGGCCATAACCTTTCTCCGCTCCCCAGCGGAGTGAGGGAAGCGCTCACCGAGACACCGTCGTTGCGCGGGCTCCTGGGACTTGTAGTCTGGACAGGGTGGAATGCCACAACGCCCACGGGAAAGCACGGGAGCGGGTGGGCCCGACTGATCTCCCTGCTTAACTCGTTTCGTTTAAAATGTGTTCTTGCTCTGTACACAAGTTCCTAAGGAAAGGCAAAACTAGCGGAGTCTGAACGCTGGTAGAAATGGGGTATCAAATCAAGACGAAAGATTTTAATATTCGAAAGAGGAAATAAGACTGAGGCCAAAATATCTCTACTGGTTACCCCCAAATGGACACAACAGATACTAGAGAACTGTCTGAAAATACCCTGGGAAAAGTGAAAACTCTCCTGTTGGTATTACAGTCTACATTTTCTTTCTTTCTTTCTTTTCTTTGTCTAGATGTGGAAGGGGGGTTGTGAAAGGGTAGGTTAAGGTATACAAAAAGGACAGTTGGTTTCTTGTAGAGCCGGCTGGGTAAGGGGAAGTTGAGGTTTGTAGCCTTCTAAAGCTTTCTGATTATCTTACTAGGCTTCTGCCAGTGTGGCAAACTTCCATCACTCAGGCTGTCCCGGATCCATAACACAATCACAAAAGGGACAGAACTTGATATCAGTCACCTCTTCACCTTTTCCTGTACACACACACACACACACACACACACACACACACAGATCCTTGTGGCAAGACCCTATTTTATCAACTATGATGTCTAGACAAATTAATTTCTAAGGCTTTTCAGGTTTACAAGTCTAGCTTTAAAATTCTACACACACATCCAACTCATTGTATCTTGAGTAGCCTGGGCTCTTAACTAAATGATGGCATTATATTAGATTAATCTGATGTGAAATGTGGAGGCCTTAACAGGAACTTGTGGCACTTTCTAGCAGTTCGCCAACTCAAACAAATCTGTACCTCAGTGTGGGCTAGCTGCAAAGAGGGAGCCGAGCAGTCCCCACTGCCCATTCCTCCCCTTTACAAGACTATATACCCCATGCTTCCCAAAGGGCTCAGAAAACAGAAGTGAAAACACAAAATGGCAATTCCAAGAAAAGAAGGTTGATAGTGTTCTTTAAAAATAGAACGTGGGCTGGGTGTGGTGGCACATCTCTTTAATCCTCACACTTGGCAGAGGCATGTGGATCTCTGTGAGTTCAAAGCCAGCCTGACTGACACAGTGAGTTCCAGGCCAGCCAGTAATACATAGTGAGACCCTGTCTTTATTCTAACAAAGTAATGTGTGATGACTCATCTCACACAAGAATTTCCAGTGGAGAGAACACTCAGGCTGGAGGAGGAGTCTATCTAGATGAGATACACACAGTGACACACACCTGTAATCCCAACACTCAGGAGGCTGAGGAAGGATAATCACAAGTTTATGACCAGCCTGAACTACATAACTAGACCTCAACTCAACATCACAAAACTATTCATTAGTACTTAATATTTTAAAAATAAGTGGGAGAGGGCTGGAGAGATGGCTCAGTAGTTAAGAACTCTGACTGTTCTTCCAGTTATCCAGGGTTCAATTCCCAGCACTCACAAGATGGTTAACAACTGTCTGTAACTCCACTTTCCTTGATGCCCATTTCTGGCCTCCATGGGCACTGCACACATGGTGCACAGACACACAGGCAAAACAGCTACACACTCAGAATAAAAATAAAATAAATCTCAAAAAAATTAAGTTAGAAGTTGATGCAGGAGGATGGCGAGCTTTCAAGTCTGCCTGGGGTACATAGCAAGTCCCAGGCCAGACGTAATTAGTAAGACCTGTCTCCTAAAATAAAAGCAATATAAGAACTCTGTACAAATTTCAGAAGATATAAATGGTACACGAGGAAAACTAAGTCTCCCTTAGTTTTTCTATCCCTGTCTCCTAGTCACCTAGTTCCCTTCAGGATGCAGCCACCATTGTAAAAATTGCACAAGTACTTTAAATATAAATGAACACCACACAGATACTCTGTTACAGCCTCAAAGACTTTTATACCAGAACATAAAAATCTACTTCATTCTTTTGAGCTGTGCAGCATTTAATGGCATGTTCTGCTGAGCTGATCCTTTACTGATGGAACTTTGAGGTTTTGCAGCAGGAACTAAAATCTATGCATCATTTGAAAATGTGAACGTACATATTATCATTTTTGAGCTGCTGAAAAAAAGTAGTGTTTGTTGTTACTTAAAATTTTTAAGGTTAGGCTGGTGTCACTCAGTTGGTATCATGCTTACTAAGCATGCATGAAGCTCTGGGCTCAATTCCCAGCACTGCATATACTTGGCATACTAACATAAGCCTACAATCCCCAGTGTATACTGGGCATGTTGGCACAAGCTTGCAATCCCCTGCATACACTGTGCATGCTGGCACAAGCCTGTAACCCCAACACTTGAGTGGTAGAAGGAGGAACCAGAAGTTTAAGCTCATCTTTAACCATAGTAAGTTTGAGACCCTGTGAGAGGTGTGTGTGTGTGTGTGTGTGTGTGTGTGTGTGTGTGTGTGTGTGTGTGTTGGGACTGGAGAGATAGCTCAGTGATTAAGAGCACTGCCTGCTCAATTCCCAGCACCCAGCTGACCCCAAGTTCAATTCCCAGAACCTAGAACCCACATGGTGGTTTACAATCATACATAATTCCAGTTCCTTGGATTCAAAACCCTCTTATGGCTTTATTGGGCATCAGGCAGACACATGGTGTACAGATATACATGCAGGTAAATATTCATGACTTAAAAATTTTAAGACAAAAAGGCTGCAACAGTCAACTGTTGGAGAATATTAGCTAAAGATGTGTTACATTCATTTATTCTGTGGAACATTTGTTTAATAGTGCCAAGATGTGTTGCATTCTTTTATGTTGCATTTGTTTAATTCTGTGAAACTGTGTTACTTTGTCTGTCTAAAATACCTGATTGGTCTAATAAAGAGATAAACAGCCAGGAGAAAGGATGGGCAGGGCTGAAAGGCAGACACATAAATAGCAGGAGAAGAATGTGAGAGGGAGTGAAAGGAGGAGAGGAGAACTCGAGGGGCCAGCCACCCAGCAACACAGCCAGCCACAGAGTAAGAAGGAAAGAAAAGATATACAGAAATAGAGAAAGGTAAAAACCTAGAGGCAAAAGGTAGATGGGATAATTTAAGTCAAGAAAAGCTGTCTAGAAACAAGCCACACTAAAGCAGGGCATACATAAGTGAAAATAAGTCTCTCAGTATTTACATGGGAACTGGGTGGCAGGCCCCCAAAAGATCAAAGAACAAAGAGTAAAAAACAAGTAAATAAAATAATTATCAACAGTGGAAATACATGTTTTATTCAAATACTTAATTAAAAGGATAAATGAAGGTTTGAGTGGGCTGAGCACAGAATTAAGGTTAATATAAAGAACCAATGAGTTAAATAATTAGTGAAGACCAACTCAGATCTACTTTTATTTCATCCTAGAATGCCTTTAAAATGACAAGGATTTTTTTTAACTCTTGAAACAAGATCTCACTATATTCCAAGCTGTCCTGGAATTCATTCTGAACTCCTCCCAAGTGTCAGAAATTGGTGGAGGTTGATACCTTCTTGTCAGTTCTGGAAGTATAGGCTGTACAGGGGCCATAAACAGAAAATTAAACAAAGCTTTGGGGGCTGGAGAGATGGCCCAATGGTTAAGACACTATCTGCTCTTCCAGAGGGTCCAGGTTCAATTCCCAGCACCTACATGATGATTCACAACTATCTGTCACTCCAGTTTCAGGAAATCTGACACCTTCTTCACAAACATAAGTGCAGGCAAAGCACCCACACATATAAAATAAACAATAGTTTTAAAAGTTGAGAAAAGCCGGGCGTTGGTGGCGCACGCCTTTAATCCCAGCACTCGGGAGGCAGAGGCCAGCCTGGTCTACAGAGCGAGTTCCAAGACAGCCTCCAAAACCACAGAGAAACCCTGTCTCAAAAAACAAAACAAAACAAAAAAAAAAGTTGAGAAAAAATTAAAAGATTTTAAGGGACTAGTAAGATGACTGACTGAGTAAAGTCACACATCAGCAAACCTAACTTCAATTCCTGAAGCCCTCATGACAGGAGAGAAGACACTCCCACAAGTTGTCCTATGGCCTCTACATACTTACGGTGGCACTCACATTAGCATGCACAATACATTCACAGAACCGCACAGACTAATAAACGTATCTTTTATTTAAAGGATTCTGAAAGTTATGTAAGAGCCCTTGAAGCCTTGGGTCTTCTTTAAGTCCCCAGCCCAAAGAAGACTGAAAGAGTTATTCCCTAGAGAGGCTCAAACAAAGTGTTCACCCCTCTGCAGGGAGCATGAACGAATGTATGGGAGCTCGATGTACTCACTTTCCATCCAGTAGCCAGGTCTTTGGCTCCCAGGTATTTATTCACAAAATAGGAAGCTAGAGGTGTCTTCTTTGAGGAATCTGACCGGCTCATGAGGAAAGATTCAAGGGCACAGATAGCACACAGTGATGTGGGGAGGGTTGTTTGGTTTGTTCCTGCTATACTTGAAGCTTCTAGAACAGCACTTGCTGTCCTTCCGTAGTCACTCATTAGCTATTTATTACAAGAAGGAATGTTTGCTCTAGACATTTCTGAATATCCAGGAAACCAGGAAGAGGGAAAGACCACTCACATTCTTTTTTAAATCTTATTTTACATACCAATCCCAGTTCCCTCTCCCCCTACCATCTCCCCTTCCCACCCACCCCCATCCACTCCTCAGAGAGGGTGAGGCCTCCCATGGGGAATCATCAAAGTCTGTCACACCATTTGGGGCAGGACCTAGCCCCCCCCCCCATATCTAGGCTGAGAGAGTATCCCTCCATAGGGAATGTGCTCCAGAAAGTCAGTTCATACACTAGGGATAAACACTGGTTCCACTGCCAGCAGACCCATAGACTGCCTAAGCCCCCCAACTCTCACCCACACTCAGGAGACCTGATTCAGTCTTATGCAGGTTCCCCAGCTGTCAGTCT